TGGATTGGGTGGGGGGTGCCTTGAGAAATATTAACTTCTAAAGAAGAGGATTAAGTAAGTGGCCCTCATAGTAAGTGAATAAGACATGAAGAAAGGGAACTAAGATTTGGGTTTTACCCGTGACCATTACTATAAGTTACTTGGACAGATGAGAAAGGGAGGGGGGTGACCTCTTGAGTAATCCTGAGTTCATTTCTTTCCAGAAGAGTCCAAGCCCTTGAGATATTATCATCAAACTAGAGGCTTGTCTGTGTCTCCAGCATGAAAGTTGGACTCACACTAATGGCCTAGGGACTTCAACTCTAGTGATACAAAGTTTGTTTTCCTTCCAATGGGACATTCAGTTGAGGGGAGGTGGAGGGTGTAGGGGGAATTATCATTGTTTACAGGCAACTTTATGTCCTTAGGTATTTTCTGTAAGGTGAAACAAAGACTATCCTGTACTGATTACATTGTTACTTTGAATGAATGCATAGGACCTAAGAACCCTCTTTCCAAGACCAGTAGAGACCTAGACATGGGCTTATATTCAAACTAGGCAGAGAGTTCTCTGAGAGAATCTCTGACTAGGGGCAAAATACACCAAAGAGTTATAATCTGGTGACTGCTGCCAAAAATGAACCTGCTCAGTATAAACCCAAAGAATTGGGTGACAAGTCACAGGTTATGTACGTAATAGTGTACCATAACTTATAGAAAGTTGGCCTCAAGAGCTATCACCTCTGATACAGAGTGGCTGTGTGAGCCCAGGCAACTTGCTTAATCTGTTAGTACTCAGTACTCTCAATACCTCTCAGTACAATCTCAGCAGGCAATTTCCTGAAACCATAGCACAATTGTTGATCTGCATTCATAGAGTGCATTTCCTCAAGGGACTTCCCTATATCAGTGAAATCACAGTTTCAAAATACCCCCTCCCAAGTATATACACGGGCACAATCAAATTTGTTGGCTATTGAGTAAGTATTCTTTTAATCTCATATATGGACATACAATCATCACCTATATTCAATCCAGCTTGGTTTCTTCTTGGGGATGAAGGTGTTTAATCAACACATGAAATTGGTGAGCAGTATAGATCTATATGCATATATGCCTCATAAAACCTAGAATCAGGTATTCAAGATTAGCTCTACTTTTTACTCATCATATGACATTGGTTAAGTCACTTAGCTTCTCTGTCACTCCCCTTCCTCTCTGACACTTCTCCATCCATAGAATTCAGGTGATGCTTCCAACTTCACAGGATAGTTTTGTAGATCAGATAAAATCATATATGTGAAAGAATTTTATAAACTACAATGTAGTCTATAAATGGAAGCTGTAATTGGTATTCTTATGTCTCCAGTGGACTTTGAAAGAACACAGAAAATGTGACCTTGGCGGGTAATAGGAGGAGAGGGAAACCAAATCACTAAACTTCTATAAAGAAGGCTTAAGGTTTCTTCCATTCCTGACCTGTAGGGTTGCTTAATAAATTCTTGTGTTAAGTATCCCTCCCAAGAAGAAACCAGTTTGGGTTGAATGGAGGTAGTAGTCATGAATAGAATTTCTCGAGTCCAGGAATCTCACAGAATGATAAGTGATAGTGTAATATGATCTCTGTCATACATTTTTTATTTTGACTTGTCTAAAGGAGTTCTATTTTTCAAACAAAACACTACATGCAAAGTGCAAGTATCTAAGCCATTACATTAGTTTAGATTTAGAAGTAACAACAATCTTGACATGTCTTTAATGGTAAATAAAACATTAGCTTTGATCATTAGGCTGTGTGTGTGTGTGTGTGTGTGTCTGTGTGTCTGTGTGTATCTGTGTGTGTATTACAGTTTTACTAAAAGAGTAACATGGGTTCTAAGAAACAAAGGAGGCTATGAGGAGTCAAAATTCCAGGGTTCAGATCTTGGCTCTCATTGCTGTATGACTGAGTAAACCATTCAGTCCGTCTGAGTCTCACTAAGCTCAGGCTTTAAGATAGCGCCAAATTTTAGTTTTCATTATTATATTAATGGAATCATTGGATTCAGAAGTGGAAGGGACCTTAAAGATATCCAGTTCAACTTCATTTTCTAACTGAAGAAACTGAGGCCAGGGCCATAAAATAGCTTCCTTAAGATCCCACAGGGGGCAGTGCTGGTCTTCTGACTCCAAGGCCAGGGAATTCCCTGCTATCTGCTTTTCTTAAGGACTAATACATATAGGGGATTTCACATTTCTCATTTCAAAGTCACTTTCTAAATGCTTACATTTCATGAACTTCCAAATTCTTTTCATTGTAAATAAATCTCAAGGGATTATGCTGAGAGACTGTACCTTGCTACAAAATCCCTTTGTGGCTTACTATGCATTGGAATTATCAATATTTGATGGAGGGAAAAATGATTAGAGGCAGAAGCACAAATAACATTTCTTTTTTGGGAAGTTAACTCATGAAGCACAGTGTTCTTAACCTTATCTACCATTTTCTGTCTGATCTTCAACTACTCATGTTACTTGCTTAGTTCATCGTTCAGAAGATAGGGTTTGGAATATCATATGTTCTTGCTACTAAAAGGAGAAAATGGGAGAAAGGAAGGGAAATGGGAGAGAGAGGTCAATCAAGGGGAGAGAATGAGAGATTGGGCCATATCTGAGTCAGTAACTACCTGAAAAGAAATGTCCCTCCTTGGGAAGTCATTTCAAAATGGCGTTCTCATCGTGGAGCATCAAGTTCCCTTAGTGGATGATGAGCACACACAGGCCACTCATCCCTAAGGGCATGCAGCCGCCTGCAGTAGATAGATTGAACTGTATGGCTCATATTCTCATTCTAGAAATTAAAAATATCTTTTAAACCCTGGAAAGTGGACGGAACTACATGAGTCACAAAGAATAACATGAAAACTGGAGGAACAAATGGATAAGATGTAATTTATTTGGAATGGTTTCTCCTGAAGACAAAAAAAAAAGCCTAACCCACCTATAAACTGCCTTTTTCACCTCATAAAAGTTGAAGGGATTTAAAAGGGGGGTTAATGATGGATTTCTCTTAATTTGAATTAACCAATCAACCAATCCTTTGGCAGCTCATAAACCCACATTTGGAAAGATGTTTCATCTTCACTCAAACAAGCACAGCCTCCTTTTCAACGACCATGTTTGCAGAATGAGAGCACCTCAGGAAAAAATGGAAGGTAGTTCTCTCCAACATTCACTTGGTTCTGTGGGCAAAGGATCATTGATAGTGAAGTCTGGTAAAGAAACTGCAGCTCAAACTCCAAAACAGATCATTTGGCTTGAATAGGCTATAATCCTGTCTCTCCAATATTTAGATATCCCAGTTTATTAGACATTGTGAAAGTTTTCTGCCATCATCAAATTAAATCTGTAAGTTTTCATATAACTGTATGCTAAGGCTGCTATGATCATCAATTTCGAGACAGAAGGGACCCCAGAGGCCACTTAACCCTCATTTTATAACTGGGGAAAGTGAGATCCAATGAGATGAAGTGACTAGCCCAAGAAACACAGACAGGAACTGGTAGATCTGAGATTTGATCCCAGGCTCTTTATCTCCAATGCCCATGCTTTTCCTGCTGTATCAGTCCTTATTTGTGACTTTGTTTTTCACAAGTATTTTGCTGTTTTCCTATTAAAAGTGCCATTAAAGGCACACAATATGGAATGGTCAGTTCTACAGAAACTGATCTTCCTGAAACCTTAATTTCTGAGGCAACTAAACACCTTGGGCTAAATGTAGTTTTCAGTAAATGACTGTCCCAAGTACAATTCTTCTCCACGGTCTTTTTCTGTCTAAGAGAACTCAGGATGAAAAAAAAAGTGTAGTTCAGAGCAGTGGCTGATTTAGAGAGAAAGGGAAATGAGTAGGTCAGGTGACAGGGAGGGAATTAATTACTAGATTCAGGTAGTAGAATCTAGTCAATTTCCCCCCCCCCTCCCCAGAGCTGCAAGAAAAAGTATCATTTTGAAAAGAATCAGACTGGATTAACAAAGTATAAGTCAGAGGAATGCAAAACCCAAGTGCAGGAAAAGATGTCTTGCTGATGGGTAACTAGTTTAAAGGAACTAAGTTGGCTTATAAACTCTGCTTGAAGGGTCAACAGTTTCCTTCTATTAAAAGTTAGGCTTGTTCTCTGACAGCATGAGCCTGCCTGTCAAAGGTGGCTTTGATACTTTCTGCTCCCCTCATCCACAGAAAAGCCAGAATAGTCTTATGTGTAGGAATTTAAGAAAAAACAATCATTTTATCTTTTCCACATGCCCATGGGGTTTACAGGTGGTTACCTTAGAAAGGCGTCACTAAGAACTAAGGACAGATGCTTGTTAGGAAACCATGACCTTTAGAAACCTGTAAGGGTAACTTTATTTGTTGGGGTGAATGGGTTATTCCTGGGGTCACTTTGAAGGGTTTCTGTTAGGAGGGAGATTGTGTTTCCCCCTTCCCATTTCACAGAAGAGGGGGATGGGGAGGCACAAACAGATAAAGTATGTGTGACAAGCTCAAGATGGGAATTCCCAACAATTCCAGACCAACACTAACAGATTCAAAGGATTCTCCAGTACCCCCGTCTTCCCCTGTCCTCTGCCACCTGCCCCTTCAATCTTAAAATTTCTCTGCCAGGAGGTATCTGACCACACAGACAGATTACAGTCCTTCGCTTGCTCCCCACTCTGAGCCCCCCATTCTCCAGCACTCTCCGGACAACGCTGGGCAGGTGGTGGGGGTGGGGGGGTTGATAAAGCACAGCTCAGAGTGAGGGTGATTGCCCCTGGTGACTGCACTCTCCATCCCCAATCTCCTATCCCACCGAGTCAGGAATACCTTGACTCGAGCACAACCCATACTGAAATCAGTCCCCCCCCCCATTACCACTGCCTCCCACCTTCAACACACACACACACACACACACACACACACACACACAAAGACAAAGTCCACCCCGAGGAGATGCCTCGCGAATCCCCTGCGATCCGCAACGCCAACTCCGGCAGAAACTCACCGGCTTTATCAGCCCAGTTACCCAGGGACGACAGGAGCAGCAAGAGGGAGCCCAGGAAGCAGACCTGGCCCAGCAGCAGCTCCTTTCTTTTCCTGCGAGCCCGGAGCCGGTGCTGGGTGCTGGGCAGGAGCGGCAGCATCTCCGACTGCCGGAGGGGCAGCAGCAGCGGTGGTGGTGGCCGGGGCAGGAGGAGTAGGCGGCGGCGAGCCGGCGCTGGAGCCTGAGCCTGAGCCCGAGCTGGAGCTGGATCCGGAGCCAGAGCCAGAGCCGGAGCCAGGGCTGGAGCCTGAGCAACAGCTGCAACGGCGACCCGAGCCTGCTGTCCGCTCCCCTTCTCCAGCGCCAGCTTCACTACATCCATTAGCTTTTCCCTGCGTGTACACACAGACACACGCGCACACACACACTCGCACACTCACACGCGCGCACACACGCGCGCGCGCTCACACACACACTCACTCACACACACACACACACACACACACACACACTCTCCTCACTCTCACACCGTCTCTTCTGCTGGTGAGCAGGGAGATGAGCCCAAGGAAGGGGCGATGGGGGCAAAAAAGGTCTGGTCTCCCAGGGTCTGTAGGTGCCCCTGAGGTAGAATCAGCTGCTTGCAAACTCCGCCGGGCAGGCTCGCGGAAGCCCCTGGATTTTCCTCTCGCTCGCTTGCTTGCTCGCTAGCTCTGCTCGCCTAACCCACCCCGCCTGCTTGCCCGCCCGCCCCCTCTTCTAGCCTGTGCAGAGGCAGGAGCTGTAGACAAGTCCTCTTAATCCATGGTCCTAAGGCTACCACCCCCTTCCTCCCCTCAAACAAGATCACAGCCCCGGGGAGAAGGACGAAGGCTCGGGACCCCAGGCGGCAGCGGTGGAGGCGTGGGGAGGCGAAGGGAGGAGGAGAAGAGGAGGAGGAGGAGGAGGAGAAGGAGGAGGAGGAGGAGGAGGAGGAGGAGGAGGAGAGAGGAGGAGGAGGAGGATTTGCCATGGATGCTACCCCCGGTCTTGCCAGCGAAGCCTGAATAGGGGTGGAAGAGAAAGAGAGGTGTGTGTGTGTGTGTGTGTGTGTGTGTGTGTGTGTGTGTGTGTGTGTGTGTGTGTGTGTGTGTCCCGGGGTGGGGGGAGGAGAAGAAAAAGGAGAGGAGGAAGAAAAAGCAAAAAGAGGAGGGTGGGAGCGCAGTGCTGTTGCCGTCTGTGCTAGGGGATGGAGGAAGGAATGAGAGGGAAGTGGATGAGGAAGAACACACCGAAATAAGCATACACAGAGGAAAAGAGATGTCTTAGAGAAAGGATCCACCCGAAACTTTCCGATCACCCGCGAGCTTCCTGGGGTCTTCCATTCACCCCACCCTCTTCTCCCCCACTGAGTGTCACTACCCAGGATGGGGGAACTGTGGGGGCTCTCCCTTCACCGCCTCCACTCTTCACCTGCTCTTCCCTTGAACACCTCCCCGACGAAGATCCTCCAGAACTCCCCTAAACCAGGACAACCAGCCATTCTGCCTTGATCCTTCATGCCACCTTTGGTAACCCCATGAATCCCCCAGGACCCTTCGCTCTTTGGAGCATTCATCACCTCCCATTCATTTTGCCGGCTCTGTGATATTGGGATCTGACTTGAAGAAAGCAGTATGACCTCTCTCTCCCCACACTCAGGCCCATTGCTCTTTTTGTTGGTGGTCGTTGTTCCCCCACCCAAGGAAAACAGTTGCCCTGTTAGGCCAAATGAAACTGGAATCACAGTTATCTCTGAGCACCTTTGAGGGAGGAGGACACATGGAAAGGACTATTACTTTCTATAAACTGGGTATAAAATTGAGAGGCCCCCACCTAACTGCAGAAATGTTGCTATGCTCACTCATACCCTTAATAAGGGCCTTTTATAGTTGCACACACCCCCAAATAAGTTTGTGAGGGTCTGTCCTGGCAAAACAAGGAGATAGGGAATCCACATTTGGTATCTAATTTAAGAAGAAACTTAAGTAACTCAGGATTCATATTTTGGAATCACCTCCCTTTTCTAGTCTAATATCCCTCTGGTGGGAACTCCATGAGGTAGAAATGACAGCCCCTTCCCTCATGCCTCCCCTTCAAAAAATCCTTCTACTCTTGTGCTGAAAACAAAAGGGCTTCTTCAAAAGTGGATCCAGGACAAACAAGAGATTCTGTGTCTGTGTGATTATCTCAGATGGAATCAGACTGGATCAGTAAACTGTGGGGAGAAAGAATGAAGGGAAACTCCTGGCATAATTTCATACTTCAAGGGTAGGGAAGATCCACATTGATCCCAATTGCCTGATTCTGGCAGAGCTACAGACTCCACTGCACCTGCACAAGCCAGGATTTCCCCCACTTCCCCCCTTGCACAACTGATTTCTCATCAGTACTGATCCTAGCAACAGACAAATCAAACGGTCACTTTCTTTTCTACAAAATATAACCTCTTTCTTTCTTCTTCTGTCTACTCTCTACTCTCTTCTCTCCACTCCCCACCCCCCCCACCCCTGCCTAGCTATGATTGGAAGGAGTAACTTATCAGCAACTCTGGATCCTAACTCATGCCTTTATTTTGCCTCAGTTTGTCTCATCCCCTCTGGGCACGTAGATAGATTCATTGTTATTGTAGGATTGCTCAAGGGTGCCAGGTAGCCATGACAATTGAAAAATAAATACTATGATCCCCAAGGGAATGTGATTTGATAATTCAACAGTCAGAATTACCTTGATCTGATGTGTTTCCAGAGGAGGGAAAAAAGTAGTTCTAATTTAAGAAATTTTAACAACTCTACCTTCCAGGTAACTCAAGGAACCATTCCAGATTTTGCCCCTAGTTGTATCTAGAAAGAAATAAGAAGCAGCTTAAGGAGGCTCAGACAGATATAACTATTTCTGGAGGGTCTGAGGAATGCATATAGGCAGAGGCGGAGGAAACAGTTGGTGATTGGACAAGGAGGAGGGGGACTACAGAAAACAAGAAAGGGCAAATAAGTTAACTGTCAGTTTCGAGGAATTCATCTTCAGCTTGGGCCCACCAGCTAGACTTCACTCCTGTGGCTCACAGAAAAAAATTCATTTAACCTGAAATTTTTTGGCAGGCTTCCTGGGATAGATTAAAGCAGGTCTGAAGAAAAGCAGAAGAGTTTTCCAAATAGCTAACTTACTGGGGAAGAATTGGACCGGGGGGGGGGTTCTAGTCAGCTATTTCATAGCATGTTGCATCTGATCGTTACTTAGTAAGATAGATAGAATCTTCTATTAGGGACAGGCCTGCAGAATAAAGAATGCCCCCTTTGCCCATTCCATAGATAGCCAAGTTACAAGGTGAAGGAGGCTTTTAAGTCATCTGTCAGTATGGGAGAAGTAGAAGGGAAAGATCTCAATGGGTACTATTTCTGATAGGAAAGCTTTTATTTTGTCTTGCTTTACTCTCCCCATTCCCCAAACCGCACATTTCTGTGTATGACAGTCTTCCCCCCCCCAACCATGACTCATGAATAGGAATCTAGTGGGGAGAGGGAGGAGTGATAAATTGAAATTATGATTCTATATCCTTGCCTCTCACTCTGGCCCATCATAAAAATGAGCAGGAACAAGCACGCACACATACATATAGCTTCGCCATCTTAATTTTTCTTTGTAATATTTCTTTTCAGATTTTGCTCCAAAGGAGCATGAAGGAAAAAATTTAGATAGAAATCCCAATCGTTTGTATTGTTTTGATTTTGGCATGTTTGTGTATAGAAGCTACCTCATCTTTTTCTCCTCTATATCCCATTTTTATTTTTATATAAACATTTTAGTCTCAACTCTGAGATATCCAAGAGATCTTGGCCTGTTTAGGGGCAACATAACCCAGTTGGTTTGTTTTTTTTCTCTAATCATTGCATTTATATCAAAATCATAAACACTTCCTACCTACACATCCACTGGAATTATCACAGCCCAAGGCAAACCTTCCATCAACACAATAAATGATATCTTATCTGGGATAGGAAAACACACACTTTCCTGTACTACATTTTCAGGGTAACTTCCCTTTCCAGAAAATCTAAGTGTCTGTAACTAACAGTAGCTTACTGGACATATGAAAGGCTGTTGTCTAGGTAACTGGTAAAACAGTCAGGTGATTTTCTTCAAGTCTCAGGGGGGAAGAAACAATCAGTTGTTTGACAAGTCAATTCATTCAGAATGGTTGATCTGGTAACCCCATGCAGATGCAGTCCAAGGGAACAAAGAAAAGGAAAATGAGACTAGATTTTTCACTAATAAATTAAAAAAAAAAACTTTGGTCAGAAAAAATGTCGGAAATGAGAAGATAAATTCTTTTGGGGCATATTCTTGAGTGTATGCCCCAACTCACCCTTCTAAACCTTCTCAAATCCTGATTTCCTTTTTACTTTGCTTTTTGACACAGCAGTCCAGAGCACCTTAAATGTTACTGTATGGAACCACTGAATAATTTAGATACAGCCTAAACTAAATCTTAATTGGACTATATTCATAAAATGCCTCATCTCTGAAGATCCTGGCAAACAGAATCATAAAACCATAAATTTAGAACTGAAAGAGACCTCAGAAGCCATTAGGCTACTAACCTCTTTATTTTATGAGGAAATTGAGGCCCAGAGAAGTCAAGTCACTGACACAGGTATAGGGTATACAATATACTAGTCAGCTGCTACAATCTCCTCTAGCAGAGGAAGCAACATTTCAATGACAAAAGAAATACATGTTGTATATGAATTTGTCTGGACGTATTCATACACAGCCTTTGTCATAAAAGAAAGTAGCCTAGCTAAAGTTATTACCTGAATGGAACACTATTGTTCTATAAGAAATGATAAGTAAGCAGATTTCAGAAAAATCTGGAAAGACTTACATGAACTGAGGCTGAGTGAAGTGAGCAGAACCAGGAGAATATTGTACACAGTAACAGCAACATCGTGAGATGACCAACTTTAATAGACATAGCTCTTCTCAGTAATGCAATAATCTGAGACAATTCCAAAAGATTCATGATGGAAAATACTCTCCACACCCAGAGAAAAACTGTGGAGTCTGAATGCAGATCAGGAGGGAAAAAAAAAAAACTGGGAACTCAAAATCTTATAAAAGTCAATGTTGAAAAATATCTTTGCATGTAATTGGAAAAAATAAAATGCTATTAAGTGGGGTGGGGTGAGGAAAGTCATTACCTGGTTGAATAATAACATAAGAATTCACTCAGCTCAATACTATAGTAAAAGGTATTTGCTTATTCTAAGTTATAATGTTTCAATTTTCTTTTCATTAAGTATGTGAATGGATTGTGATTTTCACTTCACTGTGCATCATATATATGCCTAGATGTATATTTATATATGATATATACCCAGATGTAGATATATGTGTATATATGTATGTTTACATATATGTATCTATATCTGTGTATGTGTGGCACATATATGTATTTCCAT